TCAGAAGTTAGATTTTCTTGTCTTGATAGATATGTTTTTCCTAATATTTGTGCATTGTACTACAATTGTGCTTTTGCTTAGAGAAAATTATCGGTATCTCTCCGGTTTAACACACCCATCAACACTCATTAATTTAGTCATTAAAATCTAAAATTTTACGTTTTCCCAACTTAAATTCAAATTTGAAAATAATAAATTTTTAATGAATATGTTGTATGTAGATTGTGTTGAATTGGAGGGTGTACAAATCATTGACCTTTATTTAGTATTCAATAAAAAGTGGTTGGCATGCTTTTGAGAGTAATTAGTTTGTTTTATTTCATTGCTGCACGGTAATAATTTTGTAGTGTGCAAGTCGTTCAGATTCTTCTTCTTTCGTTGTTTATGAGTTCTCGAGCTATTTTTAGACAGTTTTTAGGCATGTGGGGGAGCAAGTGCTGATTAAACAAGGCATGTATATCCAGGAATAAGGATTAAATAAGGTGGCCTTTGGAACTTAATTGTCCTCATTAGTTATGGGCATGATTTTCATCTACATTTAATGCTATATAGCTTCATATTGGTTTTAGATGCCTTAACATGGGGATTCATATGTAATCTCATTTTTTATTTACAGACATCTCTATTTCTCATAAAAAAAGAAAAAAGGAAAAAAGAATATATGTCTTTGATGTTCTTGATCAAAGATTGGGCATCTAGAAGATACTAATTAAGAAGATAGTTCTTAATTTTGATTCCATTAATTTGCTTATGGGGTTTCTTGTATCTCTATATGATATTATTATTTCTTTCTGTTGATTGCTAAAGACTTCGTTTGATATCATTACTGTTTCTAGTTTTTTGTTTTGATTATGAATAAAATTAGCAATGCTAGATTAAAATAAAAGACAAAAGAGTTTAATAAATTAAGTAGGTTTTCGGTTTTGATTATTAGTTTTGAGAATTTGTACTCAACAAGTTTTTACTTTCATTTTTTATTTTGCCTTTAATTATCAATTTTATTTGTTCAAATTTCAATAACAAAAAAGAAAAAAGAAAAAAGAAAAATGATGCTAAACATAGCCCAAGTGATATGTTAAATTATATAAATTAAATATTTAGTTTGTCAAAACCGTCTGGAAAAGTTCTGCTTTACCCTTTGCCAGCACCTGGAGTGTGTTTTTTAAAGAGATTTTCTAAGTTCAGAAGCAAAAGTCAAGTTAATATAGCTAGCCTTCTCCTTTTCTTGTCTTCCTTTTTTTTTTTTCCTGAAAATATATATTTGGCTTTTTTGAAATACAATGCGTTTTGTAGTTTGCCTGTAGAAATTGCAACATCACGTCTAATTAGTGGGGTAGGAGCTCCAATGGTATCATAGGGCTCATCTTATGCGATTTGTGCAAGATCGACTGCAAAAGACTTATTTCTATAGAAAAATGATTGATACACTTTTAGTTTAATGTTTAATACACATGTTAACACTTAATGATTTAACTATTAAATTTTGTATTTGAAAGTTTTCTTGTCATAAATTCAAATTTGAAAATAATAATTTCTTAATGAGTGTGTTATAGAGTATGTTGAATCTAATGGCATATTAATCATTCTTCCTTTTTTAAAATTAATTTTATTTAGTTTTTAGCTTCAAATTAAGAATTTCTTTTAGCTAGAATTTTTACATTAATAAATTGTAATGATTTTTGAAATTTATATCATGTACTATTAATTTCATTACTTCCGAGCATCCTCATTGAGGGGATACGGCCCCAACTAATTTTATATAGTGTTCAGTTTCAAATTGGAGTTTCCTTAATCTAGAATTTTTCATATTAATAAATTGTAATGATTTTTAAAATTTATACACTATTAATTTCATTACTTAGAGCATCCTCATTGGGGGATACGGCTCCAAATTTTTATGTTTCTTTTTCTTTTCAATTTTTAAAATTTGTTTAGAGAATGTGAATCAAATAAAATAATAATGAATTAACTTTTGAGAAGTTTTACTCGAGTCTTCTAACTATAAGAGGAGAGGCTCTCAATGTAAGTTAAATAAAATGATATGGATTTCGATGATGTTAGCTAAGGTGTACAAAATATTATAATTGTAGGTTATACAATATATTAAGATTATATTTAATTTATTTAATTTTATGGATTTATAATTAATTAGGGTATTTGTTAAGTAATGAATAATTATTATTTTATTATTATTAACTAATAATTATAATTATTAAATGTCATGTCAAACACAATTTTAGCATTTTTATGTAGCTACTTATGAATGAAGTGTGAAGTGTGGATATAGCTACGCATTGTATTTGTCAGGATTACACAAGATTTGTAATTTTGTTTAAATAGTTATAATTAAAAATATTAGTATATAGATTAATTTTAATTAATTAAATAATAAACAGTAATTATTATTTATTTTTAATAATTAAATTAATACTTTTAAAATATAATATTTAAAAATTTGTGTGATATGACATGTGTATATATGGTCATAACATTGGTTAAGATTATTCAATTTAGTTTAGTTTAATTGTGAAAATTTTAGTTTGATTGTGAAAAGTAACATAATTAATAAAATAATTGATATTTATTATTTAATAAGTTAAAATTAACTTATAAATTAATATTTTTAAATATTAAAATTAATTATTTTCAAAAATAAAAATACATAAAATATAAGTCAAATTAAACAGTTTTTAACCATAGCCACACCATAACCCTGTCCCAAAAGTGGTTCCAAGAAGTTTAATACTGTTCTCTGACATGACATGAGAGAAGTACACAACAGAAATGCCAGAAGCAGCGCGTGCCTTGCGGGTTACTGTACTACCCTTTTTACTGTGATACAACATTTCTATGTCTCCATCAAGTCCCTGAGCTCAGCCTCAGACCCTCAGTGTTCCTTCACATCCACTGCAGGAGAAAGGAATCATTTCCTATTTCCCATATTTTTTGTTACCTCAATGCCTTTTTGTCCTTTTTCCTGTTGTGTTGGGGGAACAAAGTTGGGACGTAATTAAAATAATGTATGTGCATGCTTCTGGATTATTACCAGGTGATGCTGCTGGGTCCTCTGAAGATTTAAGTAGGGATGAGATGGAAGGCCAGGAAGGTGGTCAGAGCAGCGAAGACCGCGAGCTGAAAGAGATACTCCTGCAGAAATACAGCGGTTATATTTCTACTTTGAAGAATGAATTTTCAAAAAACAAGAAGAATGGGAAGTTACCGAAGGAGTCCAGACAAATATTGCTCGATTGGTGGAATATTCACTATAAATGGCCTTATCCATCGGTAATTAAATTTAATACACCTTAATTTGATGTACTTTTAACTTTGGTTTCGAGCATTTCAGATTCGGGGTTGGCTTAGCTGGTCTCTAACAGCTGATAGTAAATCTTGATATGTAATGGTTGGTAGTTATTAATATATCTATATATTAGCTTTATTCATATGATTAGAAAACAAGTATTAGTTATTAGTTATTTTCTGATAGCTGAATCAAACAGGGGCTTAAGTCTAATAGTTGTTAATTACTATGCTACGTATGCTGTGCAGGAATCGGATAAGGCCGTCCTGGCAGTGTCAACAGGACTAGATCCAAAACAGATCAATAACTGGTTTATAAACCAAAGGAAACGGCATTGGAAGCCATCGGATGACATGCAAATTGCTGTTATGGACAGTTTATATGGACCATTTTTTAACGAATAATGGGTAGGATTGATGCATGGGACTACTTGTTTCTCCTGTTAATTTGTATATAAATCTCGAAACCAGAAACCTAAACGCCAATTCTTAGGTTGGCCACCCTGGATTGTTCATCTTGTTCTCAATGATTGCAACATTTCTTCCAATTCAATAACAAATTTATTATTTAACATTATTCATATTTTTCCAAACTAAGATCTAATTGTATGTAGTTGATGTTAACTTAAATAGTAAGAAATTTTGTAATGTAAATCATGTTAGAACCAGGTCCCTATATCATCATCTGGGGTCAATTAATTCATATAAGACTAGTTTTACCGTTTGAGGTTCAACATTCTTATGGTAGTTTTAGGTTCAAACTAGAGAAAGTCATTCTATTAAAAAACAAAAAATTAGTATGTCCCCTTCTTCAACTTTAAATGGTTCTAATTTGACTAAATTTTAACTGTTTTAATTTGCCTTTCTAACATGTTGAACATTATTTCATTTTAGGTGAAAATTTAACAAAAACATATAAATAAAAATTGAAAATTTTCTTTTCATAATTATAGTTACTATTAAGTTTCATTTGAT